GGGGGGGGGGGGGGGGGGGGGGGGGGGGCACTGACTGTCCTTTCCGTCACCTTGGGGCTTCTGGAACACCTGTCTTCCCTCATCCTCCTCACATTTCCTTCATCATCCTGCTTCTTATTCAATAAACCGTGCTTTTCAAACTTTATGTGCACAGAGATCACCTGGGAAACTGAAAACGGAGATTGTGTCCCAGCAGGTCTGGGGTGAGGTCTGTGATTCTGCATTTCTAACAAGCTCCCAGATGGTGGTGACGCTGTCCGTTGAGGAACTACAAGCCTTGGGTAGCAAGGCTTTCAAGATCAGCCTAAGTGAACTTTTTTTTTTAATGTTTATTTATTTTTGAGAGAGAGAGAGAGAGAGCAGGGGAAGAGCAGAGAGAGAGAGAGAGAGAGAGAGAGAGGGAGACACAGAATCTGAAGTAGGCTCCAGGCTCTGAGCTGTCAGCACAGAGCCCAACGCGGGGCTCAAACCCACAATGGTGAGATCATGACCTGAGCTGAAGTCAGACACTTAACCAGCTGAGCCACCCAGGTACCCCATGATCAGCTTAAATGATAGCTTCTCTTAGAAGACTTGCCTAATAACATCTCTACACCCACTCCCACCCCCATACCTCAATTCTGGGGCTCCCTCATGGTCAGCTCTAGCAAACTTGTACCACACTATATTATAATAATTTGCCTAGTGTCTGTCTTACTCATTAGGTAGTGAGCTCCCTGAAGACAGGGACAAGGTCTTAGTCATCTTAGTATCACCAGAGCCTAGTGCTGTGTCTAGTACATAGTGGGTGTCCAGTAATGGAAGGTGGGGGGAGGGAATTGGTGGATGGAAGGGAAAGAAGGAGGGAAGGAAGGGAGAAAGGAAAGATGGGTGGATACATCAATGGATGCATGGATTGGAGAGAAGGAGGAGAGGACGAAAGGAAAGGAGAATTCTCTGCGGGTTCACTGAATTCAAGGAGGAGTGACAAGAGCAAATTAAGGTTAGATGTTGGGAGAGACTGGAGTGTTGACCCAGAATGAGATGGAACATGCAGTAGTTGAGAGACCCTGGGTGAGAACACTTAGATGCAATGAGGGAAGCATAGGGCAGCTGAGGTTGAGGTGGTGCAGGAAAACAAAGCTCAGACATGCATCGGTATTCAGCAGAGCCTGGGGGCTGCTGTCAGGACAAGGGCAGAGCCTGAGTAGCCCTAGCCATCCACTGAGCTGTCCCATTGTTCCCTCTTCCACCATGCCATTGGCATGTAAAACAAACATGGTGGCCATCCCCCATATCTCTGCTCCCCAGTCACCTCTGCCTTCCTAAAGGCTACAGAGGGAACCAGCATTCTCCAGAAGGGAATATATCCATGGGTCAGGGGCTGGTGGGAGTCTAGAGGGACTAGAGGACCCTCACAACAAGGACTCAGCCAAACAGTCACAAAGGTCAGGCATTGGGATGAATGGACAATTGGATGCCCTTCCTGGGTCCTTAGCAGATGTGGGCACATCTGCTTCAAGAGGTCCGCTTCCTAGGCCCAACAAGATGGAATTTAGCAAGATGGATATAAAGTTTCTACCCTCATCTCAGACATCATCCATTTGATGGATACGCAACATCTTTTTATAACCTTTTTACCCCTCCAATGTAAACATATCATATGCTCAATATAAAAAAAAATGGAAAAAACAGGAAAACACAAAGGAAACAAGTGTTTCTTCATTCTGTATCCTTTCCACTCAGGACTATAATGTGAACATTTCCTTGAGTGAATAGATAGTCTTCACCAGGATGACTTTTTACCTTTTAATTTTGAAAGTTTAGACTTACGAGTTGTACTTACAAAATAGTACTGAGAATTCCCACATACCCTTCACCCAGCTCCCCCTAATGTTAACATCTAGTGCAACCACAGTACAATTAGCAAAGCCAAGAAATTAACATCATTGCCATCACTGTTAACTGAACTACAAATCTTATCAGATTTTGCCAGTTTGTCTCACTAATAACATTTTCGCTGTCTAGGATTAGTGAATCCGAGATCCCACTTTGCATACATACTATCTCCTTAATCCTCTCCAATCTGACAATGCCTTGATCTTATCTTTGTCTTTTGTGACCTTGGGGCTTTTGAAGAGTGCCGGACATTTCTTTTTATAGAATGCCACTTGATTTGGAGCACCAGGGTGGCTTAGTCGGTTAAGCATCCAACTCTTGACTTTGGCTCAGGTCATGTTCTCACAGTTGATGAGACTGAGCCCCCACCCCCAACCCCACCCCTCCTGTCGGGCTCTGCGCTGACAGCGTGGAGCCTGCTTGGGATTCTCTCATCTCTCTCTCTCTGTCTCTCTCTCTCTGTCTCTCTCTCTCTCTGCCCCTCCCCTGCTCATGCTCGCTCACTCTTGCTCTCTCTTTCTCAAAAATAAATTAATTAATTTAAAACAATAATAATTAGGGGCGCCTGGGTGGCCCAGTCGGTTAAGCGTCCAACTTCGGCTCAGGTCATGATCTCATGGTTTCACGGGTTTGAATCCCGTGTTGGGCTCTGCGCTGGCAGCGTGGAGCCTGCTTTGGATTCTGTGTCTCCCTCTCTCTCTCTCTCTCTGCCCCTCCCCCTGTTCATGCTCTGTCTCTCTCTGCCTCAAAAATAAATAAACATTTTTTAAAATTTTTAAACAATAATAATTAGAAGAAGAAAAAGAATGCCCGTCAATTTGGATGTGTCGCTTGTTAGTTCATGACTCCATTGAGGTTTTATAAATTGTTGCAGAATAAACACAAAAGCGATACTATGTTCTTCTCAGTGCCTCACAGCTGGGGTCCAGCCTGTCCATATAACTAACTTACTGCTGCTGGAGTAAACCTTGATCACTTGGGGTATTATGTGCTGGGTTTCTTCATGGTAAAGTTGCTCTTTTTCAGGATAATGTTTGAAAGGCAGTTCAGCTTTCCATTATAGATCTCTCTCATAACCAGACTCTCTCACGGTGCATTTAGTTTGTTACTTGTCTCTGTTTGTACTGTTACAAAGAGCCAAAGACAGCTGCAGCACCTGTTCCTGCTGGCACATCTCAACACACATCCCTGATTATTTTGTTAGAATAAATTCCTAAAACTAGGATCACTGGAGCAAATACTATTCACCTTTTTAAGGCTATGCATGCCTGGGGCAGGGTTGGTTGCTTCTTTCTATGTTTATTTGTTTTAATCAGCTTTACTGAGGTGTAATTTAAATACAAAACATGCAGATTTGAAGCATATATTTCAGTGAGTTTTGGCCAGCACATACACTTGTGTAATCACCCTCCCAATTGCAATGCAAAATAGCTCTATCTGCTCCCCCAAATTCTTAGATGCCCCTTGCAGTCCCCTCCTCCTCACCCCAGGCAGCCCCTGATCTGATTTCTGTCACTGCAGGTTAGTGTTAACCTGTTCCAGGATTTCATAGAAATGAGAATTGGACAGTATATTTTCTCTTATCAACAGTCTCTTTCGACTGGACCTAATGCACGAGGGATTCATCCACACTGTTGTGTATATCAGTCATTTAGTCATGTTTATTGCTAAGTGGCGTTCTATTGTACAGATATACCACAATTTGTTTATCCATTCTTCCACTGATGGGCATTTGGGCTATTTCCAGTTTGGGGGTATTATGAATAGAGCTGCTGTATGAACATTTGCGTACAAGCAGATGCATGTTTTCATTTCTCTCGGGTACATACCTGGAAGCGGAGTTGCTGGGTCATAAGTAGGTGTGTGTTTAACTCTATTATTCCCAGCAGGGTGGGGTTATTTTCATCTCATTTCATAGCACAGGCCACAGAAAGCTTGAGGGACTCGTCCAAGGGCAGAGGGAAGAAGGGAAATAGAATTTGAGGAGTACTGCTCTGTGCCAGGCACAGTGCTAAGCGCTTTTCCCATTTCTCTCCGGGAACCTTCAGAGCCACCCTGTAAGATAGGAGTTGTGGTTCCCGTTCTGTTGATAAGGAAGCTGGGGCTCACGAACTGGCAGTGACGTAAGCTTCAAACCCAGCCCTGTCTGAATCCCAAGTGTCTCTTCTTTGCCCAGAAGCCATCCTGCCTCCTTGAGGACAGTATGTGGTGGAGTTGGAATGAGAACACCCTGAGAACACCCATCCTCCTCCACCTCTAGACCCGCCTTTACCTGCCTCCTGTGGTCCATCCTGCCCATGCCCCTGAGGGCAGGCACCCGAGATGCCCGAGTCTGCCCTCGAGACAAGGGAGATCTGTGTGCAGGGCCAGGGACTGTGCCCCCAAAGCCACAGCAGGCACAAGGGAGTGACCCACACTGCAACCCCCAACAGGAGTGTCCAGTTTCTCCCTCCATGAAATGCAGTCCTCAGAGCTTTGGTCCTCGGGGCTGGTGGGCAGCGGGTGAGGCCGGCGGGCAGGGGCCACGTCTCCCCGGCCATATCGCAAACCCATTAGGAGCCGGTCTGAGTGCTTTCCAAAGCTGATTAATGGCCTGCTTGTGACCTGGAACGTCATTACTGCCCAGGCTGGGGGACCCCCGGCTGCCTCCTTTGGGTCTTTACAGCTAATAATAATTGATGCTTTCTGTGCGGTTACAGGGAAAGTTCTATCTGGTCATCGAGGAGTTGAGCCAGCTGTTCCGATCACTTGTCCCCATCCAGCTGTGGTACAAATACATCATGGGGGATGACTCTTCCAACAGCTACTTCCTAGGAGGGGTCCTGATTGTTCTCTACAGCCTCTGCAAGGTGAGGTGGGCCCGAGGGACTGGAGGGCTGGCCCAAAGAGGATCCATGCATTTGCTGGGTTTTGGGGGGCGGGTGGCAAGTGGGGAGCTTGGCATCTTTTTTTTCTTTTAATGGAGGTAAAATTCACACAACACAAAATTAACCACTAACCATCTTACGGGGTACAGTGACACTGAGCCGCTTCACAGGGCTATGCCCCCTCCACGTCTAGTTCTAAGACATTTTCATCACCCCCAAAAGAAACCCTATACCCATTAAGCCGTCCCTCCCGTTCCTGCCTGCTACCCTCCCCCAGCCGCTGGCAACCGGCAGTCTGCTCTCTGTCTCTGTGGACTCTCCTATTGTGGACACTTCATATAAATGGAATCCTACACTGTGTGGTCTTTCTGTGTCTGGCTCCTTTCACTTTAGCATCATGTGTCTGAGGTCCATCCACGTCGTAGCATATATCAATACTTCATTCCTTTTTGTGGTTAAATCCACCCTCATTTCTTGCCCATAAAGCTCACCGTGTGCTCTCCATTCACACATTTCCATTATGACTCCCGTGTTATGGGCGAGGAGATGGGGACTCAGAGAGCAGCAACTTGCTCGGCGTCCCTCAGCTACAGATCATGGAGGGTCGAAGCCAGGCAGTCGGCTTCCAAAGCCTGGACCTCTTACCCCAGATGCGCCCCCCAGACTTGTTTCCATTCTTCTTCAATCGCACCCCCTCATGCCTACAGTCAGGATGCAGGGCTTCTCTTTCCATCACGGGTACAAATCAGGTTTCCCTCCCCACCCCAGGCATAAAGACATCCTCCTCTTCTTTCTTTCTTCTCTGCTTCTGGCTCTAGAGAATCCTGGGGGAATCCACATGTTCTCCCCTCCCCTCCCCTCCCCTCCCCTCCCCTCCCCTCCCCTCCCCCCAGCAGGACTAGCCAGGCAGTCCGTGCCCCATCAGCCACCGGGGACTTCTGTTGCCTGCCGATCCTGATCGACTGGCAGTGGCTGACTGGAGTGCTGGCTCAGAAGAAGAGTGCTGTGATCAATTAGCAATGCCTGTGCTGGGCTTGGCAGGGGGAAAAGGCAGTATGCCTGCCATGTATTCACTCTCCTGGTCCAGGAAGCAAGGGAAACTGTTGACGTAAGGCAGCAAGACAAATGCCAAACAAAACTGGTAGAAACGAGGAGCTCCAAGTGGGACGGAGTGCCCTGGAAACATCCACAGTCAAAGATGAGGGGTCAGTGGGGATGGTTCAGGAGTGGTAAGAGAGGTCCTGAACAACCCTTGGAGGCTTTTCAGCCATCACTCTGCTCTCTTTTCAGTCTTTCGACATCTGTGGCCGTGTGGGCGGAGTCAGGAAAGCCCTGAAGCTTCTCTGCACCTCTCAGGTGAGTTGACTTCAAATGGCCCCAACTGAAGATGAAGGAGCCACGAGCTGGAAACAGCTCACAGTGCTTCTGCGGGTGTCCGGTGAGGGTCCGCAGCTGAGTTTACCTCTGTCTCCTCCTTTAAACAGAATTACGGAGTCCGGGCCACTGGGCAGCAATGCACAGAAGCCGGCGATATCTGCGCCATCTGCCAGGCTGAGTTCCGGGAGCCTCTGGTCCTCATGTGCCAGGTAAGCAGGGCTGGGCGGAGCCATCGGGGACTGAGGCTGGGGGACCTCTGGGGCCCTGTCCCACTCAGAAGTCCCATGTGCCTCTCCCATGACCAAACCTCAGGGCTCTGAGATGGGTCTTTGGGAACAGTGTGGTCCAGGCTGGAGTCGGTCAGACCTGGGTTCAGACCTCAGGTCTGCCCCTTACCAGGTGGGTGGCCCTGGGCAGGTTACGTCACCTGTCTGAGCCTTGGTCTTATCAGCCGAGTGTCAAAAATGAAAAATTCAGTATGGTGTAGCGTCACAATGTCCTGAGTGAGAATCCCAGCCGTGCTGCGGACCCTGTAGGGGGGATCACTCCGTCTCCCCCTGAGCCTTGGTTTTTCTCATTTATACAATGGGCATCATAATACCTACTTCGTAGAGCTATTATTAGGAATTAACGAGGTCATCTGAGAAAGAGCTAAATTTGGATTGTTCGCCCATAAAAAAATCCTCTGGTTGTAATTACTATCATCGTTGCAATTACCATTACTGTTTGTTCTCATTTTGAATTGTGGGTCACCAACCCATAGCAACCCCTGTCGAACTCCCTAAACATGCCCCTGCTCCTCCTCCTGACATCAAGGGGCTAAGATGTCAGTTCGGCAAGCGCGTGGGAGTCAAGGTATCCTGTCAGGTACCAGAGAGGGGAGACAGAGGGCACACAGACCCTGTTCCCTCCTCTGGAAGCTCACGGTCCCCGTGGGGAGACAGACACATACGTAAATAACTATGAAACAAGGCAGGCAGTGATAAGTGCTGTGTAAGAGAGATTCATGCAGCTTCCCGGGGGACCAGGACAGAGAGCAATGAGTTCTACCTCAGGAAAGCTTTTTGTGGGAGGCACGGCCTGCCCACTGGAAGACACGGGAGCGTGGATGAACCCCTCCCTCCCTCCCCCCACTTCTGCAGCCACCAGGACCTTCCGGGGGTGAGAGGGCGGGAGGTGAAGGTTTTGGCATCAGCAGAATTCCTGATTATTTTGCTGTTTGGGGATGTTAGGAGGTTTTGTTTGTTTGGGTTTTTTTCCTTTCATTTTATTTATTTTTTTAAAATTTTTTTTTTTTCAACGTTTATTTATTTTTGGGACAGAGAGAGACAGAGCATGAACGGGGGAGGGGCAGAGAGAGAGGGAGACACAGAATCAGAAACAGGCTCCAGGCTCTGAGCCGTCAGCCCAGAGCCCGACGCGGGGCTTGAACTCACGGACCGCGAGATTGTGACCTGGCTGAAGTCGGACGCTTAACCGACTGCGCCACCCAGGCGCCCCTCATTTTATTTATTTTTAAATGGAGAATATATTTGCATGATTCAAAATTCAAACCGAGGAATGCAAGAGTAGGGAGTCGCAGGAACTTAATGCAGCAGGTTGGATCCTGGAACAGACAAAGAGCATGAGTAGGGAAACTGGTTTGATGAGATCCAGATCAGTCCAGAGTTCTGTGATTGGTAATATATCCATGGGGGGCTTCTTGGCTTTGACAAATGTACCACACAGTAAAGCAAGATGATGATATGGGGGAACTGAAACTTGGAGGAGCTGTATGAGGAGTCTCTACACCATCTTTGCAACTTTTATGCGAGTCTAAAATTATACCAAGGTTAAAAGTTAATTTTTTTATTTTTTTAAAGTTTATTCTGAGAGAGAGGGGGAGAAAGAGAACAAGCGGGGGGGGGGGGGGCAGAGGGCAGAGGGCGGGGACAGAGGATCAAGGTTTGTGCTAACCAGAAGAGAATCTTAAATACAGAGAACAATCTGAGGGTTAATGGGGGGGTTGGGGGAGAGAGGAAAACGGGTGATGGGCACTGAGGAGGGCACTTGTTGGGATGAGCACTGGGTGTTGTATGTAAGCGATGAACCACGGGAATCTACCCCAAAAACCAAGAGCATACACACTGTATGTTAGCCTATTTAACAATAAGTTGTATTTTTTTAAAAAGTGGGATTTGTGCTGACAGCAGACAGCACTTTGTGGCACTCAGACTCCTAAACCGCAAGATCATGACCTGAGCCAAAGTTGGCCACTTAACCGACTGAGCCACCCAGGCGCCGCAAAAGTTTATTTTTTTTAATACTTCAAAGATACAAGGGGCCCCTGGGTGGCTCAGTCGGTTAAGTGTCCAGCTTCGGCTCAGGTCATGATCTCCGGGTCTGTGAGTTCAAGCCCTGCATCAGGCTCTGTGCTCATAGCTCAGAGCCTGGAGCCTGCTTTCGATTCTCTCTCTGCCCTTCCCCTGCTCGTGCTGTTTCTCTCTCTCTCTCTCTCTCTCTCAAAAATAAACATTAAAAAAATTAACAAAGAAAAAAAATTTTTAATAAAGATACAAGAAGGGAAATAGTGACCAGCCCTCTACCCTTCCCCAGTTCCCCTTTATATCTTTGTAGAGATGCTTTATAGAATTTAAACACACACACACACACACACACACACACACACACACACACACACGTATTTTTCAAAAAGACCTACATTGGAACACCTGGGTGGCTCAGTCGGTTAAGCGTCCCACTCTTGATCTCAGTTCAGGTCTTGATCTCAGGGTCATGAATTCAAGCCCCGTGTTGAGCTCTGCACTGGGCGTGAAGCCTACTTAAAAAAAGAAAAAAAGGAAAAAAAAAAAACCCTACATTGTAGCATATTCTACCCAAGCTGTGTTCTGCATCTTTCCTCTTTGACTTGAAACTCTTAAGAGATCGGTCCTTCTTTGCAGATCGTCCCATTTCATGGATGGACCACCCTTTGTTTTGTCTTTCTCCTATGGAAGGGCATTTCATAGCTTAGAAGCTTCTGTTATTACAATGATGTTATTACAATGGCTGTCATGAGAGGTCAGAAATGGGGAGATCTATACTACCTACCTGGGCCCATCGTGTTGATTGAATGAGTTAATTCAAGCTTCTAGGACTACGTCCTGGCACGTGGTCAGGCTTCAATGAACTCTCTGCTCTTATTGGCACACATTCCACTTCCCACATGTGCGAGCCCTTGGTAGGATAAATTCCTACTGGTGGAATTACTAGGTCAAAGGGTATCCACTTTTGACAGATATTGTTAAATTGCCCTTCATAAAGAGTGTATCCATTTATGCTCCCAGGGCAGAGCAAGACATGACCTCTGGCTCCCCTCACTTACCAACACAAGCCTTTTCTGAGCCTTGCCAATCCAGCAGGTGACAAACACTATCTCGGTGAAGTTTCAGTCTGCATCTCCTTAATTACGAGCACCTTTCTTCTGTGGTTCAGAGCCCATCTGTAGAACCTTTTCAGTGGCAGTGATAACTTGAACTTGATGTCAACGGGAAAGTCTTGCTTCTTTCTGGCAATCTCTCCCAGCCTTGGTGTGTTTATTTCTCTCCCATTCTTCTCCTTGTGCCATGACATCTTCCCAAAACTTGATTCACATTCTTGTGAGGGCTGTCCCAGATCTGGGAGCACCAGCCACAGCCAGTGGCAGTTGGAGCCCACAGTCCTGGCCAGACCAGTCTCTGCTGCCATGAGCTGGGCCTGGGAGACGATTTCCACAGGCAAAAGGGCCTCCCTTGTTCATTCCTAAGTGCTTTGAATGAATGAATGAGTCTAAGTGCTTCTTCCTCAGTCAGGGTCCTCCCTGATTCTGCTTCCTCAGACTAGCTGGTGCTCCCAATGGTATGTTCCCAGAGATCCTTGTGTTTTTCCTTCATAGCAGTTATCCCAGTTGTCAGCTAGTTAACTGGGCAACTGTTTGTGTAAGGTCTGTCTCCTCTTCACTAAAGCATAGGCCACTTGAGAGTGGTGACCATGTCTGTCTTGTTAGCAGCAGAATCACAGTACTGACTCGATAAATACTGGATGGATGGATGGATGGATGGATGGATGGTTGGGATGGAGATGGATGGATAGATGGATAGATGGATGGATGGATGGTTGGGATGGAGATGGATGGATGGATGGATAGATGGATGGATGGATGGACAGATGGATGGATGGATGGATGGATGGATGGATGGAATGGAGATGGATGAATGGATGGATGGATAGATGGATGGATGGATGGATGGATGGAAAGATGGATAGGTGGGATGGATGGTTGGGATGGAGATGGATGGATGGATGGATGGGATGGAGATGGATGGATGGATGGATGGATGGATAGATGGATGGATGGATAGATGAATGGATAGATGGATGGTTGGGATGGAGATGGATTGTAGCCAGGTGGAGGAGTGGATAGTTGAATACAAAGGTGAGTGGATAGAGGTATAAGTGTGTGGGTGACTGAATGGATGGACAGATGGGTAGGTAAGTAGGTGGGTAGTTGAGGCAATGAATGGGTAGACGAATGGATGGATAGATGGATGAATAGATGGATCAATGGATAGATGAACCGAAGGACAGATGAATGAGTGGGTGGATGAAGAGACTGCTAGACTAAAGGAACATCGTATCTCCCCTTCAAAGAGGCATCAAATTAAGCAGTGTGTCACTCAAACACGTGCCCCGCCTACCACTCCCCGCCAGCCAATCAGAGCCTGGGAAGCAGATCGTCAGTCTAAGCGAGTCAGGCAGACACTGAGCATGCCCAGAGGTTAGAACTCTCTGCTCAGACAGAATATACCTGTCCGGTCAGTCACTCCACAAGTATTGTGGCATTCCTCCTGCCAGGCTAGCAGGGGGATCAAGGGAAGGGATTTTGAACACAAAGTCAGAAACTCGGCTTATTTAAAGGATTTCTTGCCAAAGAGAAAAGTCGGAGGGTAGTTAGTTCTTGGTCACTACTTGATTTGGTTTTGTTTTTGAGTATTGATAGTGTAAAGGAAAGAGGGCAAGAGAACAGCGACTCCTATTGATTGAGGGCTTATAGCTGCTGCACACTTAATGCTTTATCCTAGGCCTTACCCATTTCCATCCTTACAGACACCTTGTGGGGGAAACAGTGACCCTATTTTACAGAGAAGGGGGTGGGCTCAGCAAGGTGAAAGCAAGGCCCCCCTGCTCCTCG